TATTAGATAGTTTATAAATTCTATTGATAGTTAATTTTTTGAAACTTTATGTGTTGGTTCTGATCAATGTTATTAAAGGAGTTAGTTTTCATTATGTGAAATTCTCACAATACCATGTGCACATGATAGTTTGTGGTATTTTATTAATGTAATGTGGTCAAATTTGGATTTCTTTGAATTTAGGAAAGTATTCTTTATTTAACAAATATTTGTTGAATATCTACTATGTGTCAATTATTATTCTAAATGCTAAGGATACAGCAATAGGAAAAAGAAAAATCCCTGTCCCAATCAGGCATCTTGGTAATATTCTTAGGACTTAATGATGGTATCAGAATAGAAATAACTTTATTGTGATGTTCCACAGTTCACACAGGAAATGTCTTTTGCTAGTCATTTCATGCCTAGGGCTAAAATCCCTTTTAATCAATGATAAAAAACAAATACACTACGTATAATCAGTGATTAAAAAACAAATTTGACTTCCTTACTATTACTAGTCCTTTTTGATTACAGTTTATGTAAACATAAAATATTCATAATAAAAAATTTGATACAAATAAATCTATAAAGTCATTTGCTATTATGTATATATAAATATTTTTCAAATGGCTTAGATATATTTTGATGTTAGTATACAAAATGAATTTGTAGCACACTCTAAAAGTGTTTCTTAAAATGCTTACAAGTATAAATATATATATTTTCATATTAAAAATTAATGAATGGATTATTCAAAGACAGGAAATGGTATACTCATTTTGATTAACATTTAACAACTCAGTAGTGTCAATCAAGTAATTAGGAAACTTACAACTTTTATACATTCACTTTTATAGTATAATGAGCTTTATAATAGACAATAAGTATAGTAAATTCTAATAAATGTTTACTAAGTTTGCATAACATTGAATTTGAGTTGTAATATAATTTCTAGTTTAAAATATATATGAAATCACAGGTAATCCAAAAATTACCAAACTGATTGCAGCAATATTGGTACCCAGATCAGGAATGCTAGGTTCTGCTGGAGGAATAAATTTAGTTGCTTGTGCAATGTTTGAAACCTCTGAGGTGAGACTGGCTTCACGGGTGGCTTGAATTGCAATGTAGAATGTGGTGCCATTCTCTATTTTAGAATGTTCTGGTTTAAATTCAAAATTTTCTACTGAGCCAGCTTCCTTAGGTATCAGACCAGAAGTATTTATTAAAGCAGCTTTATCAAAATCTTGTTGGAGGTCCCGGAAATATTTACTTATTCTTACGATGTAGCTGTCAGCTGGAAAACAAATAGATACTTCAGGTATATTAAAATTACTGGGATGCCTTGCTGCCACCACACTGCCTTACATTTAGAAATGTATCAGAAATGCATTATAGATTTTAGTTATGGAAATCCCATTCGTTTTTGTCTGGTTATTCCATCTTCATTGTAAGGACAAATGCATAAACAGTTTTTCTTAAAATGCATAGTTCTCTAATCCCAGAAAATATTAATTGAAAATCACATGGCACTAAAAGGTCAAAATCTAGATTCCTTTTCAAAAAGAGAAATATAAGGTGCTTAATCTACTTTTTAATTTAGAAGAAGTAACATAATAGTATTGTAGTATAGTGAAGATATTCAGTATCACATATCTGTGTCATTTCTAATTAAGTTAAAAGAAGAAGTAATAGGACAGGGGAGAAAGAGAGATGATAAATAGAGTGGGAAACAGGGATAAGGATAACCAGCAAAAGGAGGCAGAGAGATTGGAATGTGTACTACTGAAACATGTGCTAAGCAGAAAGACAAACATCGCATGTTCTCACTTATTTGTGGGATCTAAAAATCAAAACAATTGAACTCATGGACATACAGAGTAGAAGAATGGTTCCTAGAGGCTGGGAAGTGTAGTCGGTGGGGCTGGGTAGGAGAAGGTGGGAATAGTTAATGGGCACAACAAATAGAAAGAATGAATAAGACCTAGTATTTGATAGCACAACAGAGTGACCATAGTCAATAGTCAATAATAAGTTAATTATACATTTAAAAATAACTAGAGGAGTGTAGTTGGGTAGTTTGTAACACAAAGGATAAATGCTTGAGGGGATGGATATCCCATTCTCCATAATGTGGTTATTTCACACTGCATGCCTGGATCAAAATCTCATGTGCCCCATTAATATATGTACCTGCTATGTACCCACGAAAATAAAAAATTTAAAACTTATAAAAATAAAAAATAAAAGTAAATATGTGCTAAGGACCTAGGCAGACCTTGAGTAGCACCCTCATTTTACTACTAGCTAGCTGTGTAATAAAAAGAAGTTTATTTAAGCTTTCTTATCTCTAGTTTTTTATCTATTAAAATAGAGATTCAGTTATTCAATTCATTGAACAAATATTTATTGAGTGCCTACTACTCCAGTGGTAAGAATTATAGATGATAATGCATGAAACGTGTTTACTACAATTTAATAAAAGGTAAACTAATAAATGTTTGAAATATTGGCTGCTATTTTATCAAGAAAGGAAAAGAATATGCCAACATAAATGTTTCTTTCTATACTGCTTTTTGATATCTACCATTCGTATAAAAATATATTCTCATATTTTGAAATGTGATGAAAAATAAAACATCAGATGTTCTTTTTTGAAGTAAAGACTTTGTTTTTAACTTTTCCATGAAATGTTGAAGGTATTTCAAGTGTGTGGTGAATAACTTTTAGTGTATTTTTAAAAAGATTTCAGATCCTCTGCTTAACATTTAGTTTCCTCTTAAATAGGCCTTATCAATCCATTCTATTACTCTTCTCAAAAACCCTGTGTTCCACTTAGGCAGCTCTCTCTCTCTCTCTCTTCTCAAAAACTCTGTGTTCCACTTAGGCAGGTCTCTCTCTCTCTCTCTCTCTCTCTCTCTCTCTCTCTCTCCTCTCTACCTATCTATTCTGTATTTTAATTCAGATATTCCATTGTGAAATTTTGCTCTCTTGACCTTGATCATACAATTTTGTTCTTTCTCTCTCCAAAATGTGCCTCCTTCTCCCTGTGGTTGCAGATTGTACTCATTCTTTACGTTCCAACCAAGTCCAACTGCATGAAGTCTCATCCAAGCATTTCATTCACCCTGATGACTCTCTTTCATGAACTTCTGTTTCATGGTATGGAGTTTTTCAGATAGTTTAGTAGAGGTTCAATTTTTCATTCTGATTAGATCTGATAATTTTTGAGGGCAAGGCTATGTTCTGCACTCTTTGTATCACTCAGGATGCCTGGTCCTCTGTTGGCATGTATTTGATCTCCTTAATTACTTGGCAACAGTATGGTTGTTGACACCCAAAATGATGGAATTAGAAAATCATAAAATATAAGAATTATATCTACTTGTTTTAGCAATTTTAGGTTATCTAGTCTAATTTGTATATCTGATAGGCATGGAAATTGTGTAGCAGGTAATTTAAGTGCTTCATTTAAGATTATATAGATGTTCATTTTTTCTTTAAGATACTGTTACTACCTTAATTTTGGAACGTCTACAGGTAACATTTAACAGGTACCACTACCTCCTCCTATTTTTCCTAAGGAAAGACAAAGATTAGATCCCACCTGTTTTAGGCATTTGTGGTTATACATTATTCCTACTTTTAGTTCTTATAATCATCATGAGGGATATTTATTATGAACCCAATCTTGAACTGAAAGCTTGGTTTTTACTGAATTCACTATAGAACTAAGTATTTGGTCAAGAAATTTCATTTGTGGCTTTTCACTGGCAATATTGGGGATTTTGCCATAGGTTTAAGGGTCATCGCATGAGAAAATAAGGTATTTCGGAAGCTGTCATAAGATTTTCAACACTGAAATACAAAAGCTCTGTTTGTGCATATTTTCTGTTTCCTCTGGCTTTTGAATGATTTTCTCTTTGTATATTAATGATAATGAGAAATGCAGCTTTGAAAATGCTATATATTGAGTGAAAGAAGCATCTTTTCTTTTGAGAGTGTACAATAAGGGGTTTATTGTAACCCAGGAGAAACAGTACTGAATACTGATGTTTTAGCACTGGCAATCTCTGAGTTATTTTGTATATTTAGATTGCATATTGCTTTCATTTTTCCCAATCTCAAAAGGAAAATAGCAAGACTGGCTTTATCCCATAAAAGTCTACTAATCTATGTAATACTGGAATGTGGTAGGCATTCAATAAATACTGATTGAATTCATTTAAATTTCAAGCATTGATAGAAGTAATGTAAACTTTTTGGAATTAGGGTAGTTTATTATTAGGAACTTTGATTAAATATCTTTTGACCCTGAACTTTATTCAAACTCCATGAACAAATCTTTCAAACAAGCGAGTTTCTGTGCACATGAACATCTCTCTCTGTGGGACACCTTCACTTATCTTGGGTAACTACTTTCATTCTTCAATATTCAGGGATAGTCTACCCTGGGAAGGCTTTATGATATATTCTGTGATTTCAACCTCTAACTAGGGGTTTGTGGCCCATCTATGGGTTGCCACATGATTCTCTGTTTATAAAAGCATATGTCTTATTATACTTTATGTAATTATCTGTTTACTTGTGTGCCTTCTGTATTTAATTGTTGAGAGTATGGATCTTTCTTAGGAACTTAACAGTGTGACAGCTCAACAGAAGGTTGACACATGAATGAAACTGCAAGTATAGAAATACTTAAAATTTGGGGAGAAGATAATGCAACAGAAAGCTGTTAACTGTCTTATCAAAGTAATTTCTAAGATGCTTCAATTTCTGACAGTTTGGCATAATAGAATCTGATATGATGGGTTAGAATTGTAAGTTATGAAACATAGAAATAACTGGGTCCAGTTATCTCTTACAGCTTCAGTTTTCACATCTGAAAATAATTAAATAATGGCATATAGTAGACACTTCATAAATGTTATTTATAAATGGGACATTAGAAAATTCTTAGCAAATGAAAGGCAGTGGGATTTCTTTTAGTGTATTTTAAAACGTAATGTCAAACTTACCTCTTCCTTTATCGAGGACCTTGCCAGGGGCAGTCCATGAAAGTTGAATATGATCTCCTTGAAACTTAGCCTCGAGGTCTACAATTTTACCAGGTGGGAACACCTGAGAAGTATTACTATTAGGAGGTACTCCTGATACAATAAATGACTCTCCAGAGGTGAGTCTGCTGAAGTCGTCTATTTGAGCTTCTGCCACATCATCTTTGGCTTCAGGTTTGGGTGGGTTCAGTATAATTTTTCCTACCAAGAAAATAATTTTGTAACATTTCATATTGCAATGTTTACTCTTTTTTCTTTTCTTTCTTTTTTTTTTTTTGGAGACGGAGTCTTGCTCCGTCATCAGACTTGAGTGCGGTGGTGCAGTCTCAGCTCACTGCAACCTCCACCTCCTTAGTTGAAGCCATTCTCCTGCCTCAGCCTCCCGAGTGGACGGGACTACAGATACTCGGCACCACACCCGGCTAATTTTTGTGATTTAAGTAGAGACGGGGTGTCGTCATGTAGGCCAGGCTGGTCTGGAACTTCTGACCTCGGGTGATGCACTTGCCTCGGCCTCCCAAAGTGCTGGGATTACAGGAGTGAGCCACCGTGCCCGGCCGCCATGTTTATTCATTTTGCAAGCTGATCTTGCAACTGTAAAGGATTAATTTTGTTTGATAGCAGACATTGAAAACATAACAGCTTTTAGTGAGAAAAAGCTAGTTTAGTGATATTTAAAAATTGATGAGGAAACCTTATGCTATGTTAAAACTATCTTTTAACCAATCTATCTCTACTACTTGGCTGAAAATTCTTTGAGGACCAGGATTATGTTTTATTTATCTTTGCAGCTCTAGCACCTAGCACAGTGTTTGCAATATAGTAGGTGCTCAGTAATTTTTTCAATGTAAATGAAATGAACTCGGGTATATGAACAAAATATGTGGAAACATAGGTCTATGCTAGGTCTACAAATGCCAATATGGTTTTGAAACATACAGATGATTACAATGTTATATACTTGGGCTTTCTGTAGTACATTATGTTTTCAATGTTTACCGTATGCAATTTGTCTAAACAACTGACACATTTCTATTTTACTGCTACTTACCATTTTCAACATAGCCCGGTATGTACAGAGCTTTATTCTGTTGTTGTCTTAAACTTAGCCTAGCTGTTTTTTTTCTTGCCTGGACATGCACTTTTAAACTGTATCTACCATTTATACGGTAATCTGTAAAATATCTTGAGTAGATGCCATCATTCTTGACAGTATCAGCACCTTGATAACAAAATATAATAATGAATCATCCAATAAAGTAAAAATGACAACCATATCTGTTTATGAACACTGATGATGTCAGTAATTTGGGAGATAGTATGTAGCACAGTGTTTTAAGTACATGAATTCTGGAATCAGACTATTTTGGTTGAAAGCTTGGGCCATCTGCTAACTCTGTGTTTTTGGAAAAGTCTAATTGAAGGTAGGCATTCAATTAATATTAGGTGTTACTATTATTTCCTAGAAAATACTTATCAAAGTAAGAAAAATATAGCAACTGGAGAAAGCATATATGAAACACTGTCATTAATGAAAATAGAAATTTTGCTCTTAAGTTCCATGGAAAAAGTAAAATTGTTCATAAAATTTAAAAATGGCAAATGTGCTATGTCTATGAGTTGTCAAGATAACTGAGAAAAAAGTTTTAAAAACATTAGGATTAAATTTCATTTACTTAAAAATGTGATTCATTAGCAAATACAGAAAATAGTGTTTTCTAGGACATAGAACTGTAGGAAGATTTTAAGTTTAGTGAAAGTTGATGCAGATTCTTATTACCTGCACCATTGTCCCAGAGCTCCAATGTTACTTGACGTCCATCTTCATTTTCTATAATGGCTGTTACATTGATTCCCAGAACAGGCAGAAACCCTTGACTGACTCGTGCATAAACAATCATTGGGCTAGGGTAATGAGCTGTATTTCGATTCATGTGAGCAGTTGCAATTACTGGGAGTGTGGTAGGGCTTCTTGCTCGAGTGGTCATTGTGACAGTTAGCAACTGAGATTGGGCATGATTATTTCGAAGGCTGTAAGTCCAAGTGCCTGTCTGAAACATTAAAAGAAAAATCTATCTGAGAGCTTTGGTAATATTTCCTTCTCCTTGTTTGGAATACAAAATTATTTACAAATTTAAGCAGAATAATAATCATGATTTTTAATATCCGATTTCACAAACTAATAAATAGTATAAATATGAATCCCTAATTATTCAATTAGATTTCTTTATTACAGATGAACTGTCATCATTTTAATATTGGCAATATATAAGATCTTATTTATGTTATTTTCATCTTTAAAAAATAGAGATTGATTAAGAAAGCATATAATAGACCTACCTCTGCAATACCTGGTATTCGAAGACGAGCAGACCGAATATTTAGTTTATCTTCTTGGAAATCCAAGGTAGTGAATTTTTTCCCTTTTGGACCTTGAAGAATTATTTCTGGCTTTTGTATTGTCCATGTGACAACAAAAAAAGTATCATTTCCAACTGTACTATCCACAGGCACTGTACCATTTACCCATTTCTTCTCCGGGATATTCAAAGCTTTACTTTCCAACTGTTTGGTAAATAAAAACAACAAACACATAAAATCCATTTGTTATCATAGTTAATAAGATTTCTGAGTTTAGTCGGTTTAGAGTAATTTTAAATTTGTTTTTAAGATTTTAATTAAGATAACTAAGAATTGTTTTAAAGAATTTTCCAAATAAAAAGCGTATCTAATTCTAAAGAATAGAAGAATTCAAGAAAAAAGGTGGCTCTAAGTGTTATGGAAAAGCAAATTCATAAGGATGTTTTTCTTCTGCATATCTGAAATATTTTTGGGCAAAAAATTATCTATTAGAGAAATGAGTTAATAATTAGCATAATAGACATTTATTACAACTGTGATAAAGAAAATAATTTTTTTTTATTATACTGACCTGAAGAGCCTGTTGAAAGATGCTACCACTTCTAGATGAAATTCTGCTGAAAGCATCAATAAGGCCATTTATGTCATTATGGGCATAAAAACGATGTCCTCCTAAAATGAAATTTTAAGTGGAAAAATCATATTCGTTATTTTGCTTTCATCAATACACTTTAAAATCTATTTTTGAATAGTGTTTTAAACTTACAAAAGCACTCTGTGAACTTTCAGTATACCCGTGTCCCTTATGTAATCCTACATTAATGACTAAAACCTTGCTCAAAATAAGAAAGATAAGTAAGAATAAAAGAAGCTTTAAAGAATGAGTGAAATTACATTGTTTTTACATCAATCAGTCATAAAATGTAAACACCTGCCGCATCGATAAAGCTGGTCTAAGCACTAAATAATGTCATAAAAATGAAATTTAAGATAGTTCTTCTGAACCAGTTGCTTATTTTCTATTTGTGTCTAAGGTACACCAAAACAATTAGAGAATTATAGTCTACAATAAAGTAAAAATTAAGTGTAGGAAATAAATGGTGTTGAAATTAATGAAGAGAGAGATTACTTAGGTGTAAGGAGTTAGGAAAGAACAGATTGCAGAGGGCAAGAATTAACACAGGTGACTGCCACAAGTACAACAATCAATACATATTTATTGAACTGATAAATGGCAGAAAGATAAGGTGTAAGTTTATTGAAGTCTCCCAATCAGGGAGTTGTGAGGGCTGGTTTATACTGGCAGTGGTAGAAGGATTGTATAGAAAGGCGAAATATAGAAATGTTCCAAACTAAGATTTAGCAAGATTTAGTAAAGCAGGAATAGGATAGTATGCTGGAAAGAGCTTTGAATTGATACTCAGGACTCTATGGCCTTTGGCAAGTCATTTGCCCTCTCTAGGTTTCCATTTACTCATCTATAAAAGAGGATTGTCTAAATCTCTACTGTGCAATTGAGTAGTATTCTGGAATTGAGCAATAATTTTTGACTTCCAGTTGAGTAACCATAGAGAAAAGAGTTTCTGTTTGGTAGCACTGGCAGAAAGTAGGTGGGAGAATAAAGACAGCAAATGTTAAATAATATTAGAAAAAAATTGGCATATGAAGTGAAAGATATGGAGAAGACCTTAATCTGAAGGATGAAGAATGGACAAAGATTAATTTTTAGGATAGAAAATTTTTGAGCAGATTTATAGAGAAAGAGCCCCTGGAATAAGAGAGGCTAGACATTTATTTTTTATTCAAACTATATTCCACAGGTTTACTTGTCACATTTGACAGGGTCTCCAGTTCTTTCTCAGCAGATGGTCCCAGAGCAATGGTGTGGATGATTGCACCACTTTGTTTTACCTCTTCGAAGCATGAGCTTATTTGATCATCTTCCCCATCTGTTAGTAATATGATTTCAGAACCCAAAGTACTCTGGTTACTCTGGGAAATTGCCTGATAATGAAAAAGCCAGGTTATTATTTATAGAATGTCATATCTTTATGTATAATGTAATATATATATATATATATATATATATATATATATATATATAT